AGCTGTTGGTCCTCAGCTGGACTCAGCTGGACTCACCTGGACTCACCTGGACTCAGCTGGACTCAGCTGGACTCACCTGGACTCAGCTGGACTCACCTGGACTCAGCTGGACTCACCTGGACTCACCTGGACTCAGCTGGACTCACCTGGACTCACCTGGACTCACCTGGACTCACCCTTTGATCTCTCTCTCACTTTGTTCAGTGTAAATTGATGCCGATCGCCCCTAAATCTTTATAAATCGGCGTGACACAGTCAGCAGCACGACGACACAGCTGTGTGTGTGTGTGTGTGTGTGTGTGTGTGTGTGTGTGTGTGTGTGGTTTCAGGACCTACTGTAGGCTTCCTTCTTTATGTTGCTGCTACTTTTACCAAACACATCTGGAGCCAGTGTGTGTCCATGTGTGTGTGTGTGTGTGTGTGTGTGTGTGTGTGCCTGGATTCATTATGCTGTGGGGACATGAACCTGTCTTTGCTGTCCTTATGAGGACCGTCTCCACTAATCGTTAAACTTCAGTGTGAAGCTGGTGTTTAATTCTCCGTGAAGTGATTGTAAACGGAGCTGAGGTGAAGTGATGGCATCCCCACTTTCTTGGAGGCGGGTTTGGACTACAGACGCTGTGGGGACATGAACCCCTCTGTGTACTCACTTTTGGGGGACCTGCCTCCCTGATGAGGACCCGTCTCACAGAGCGTTCAGCTTTAGTGTAAAGACGGTTTGAATCTGCAGCGAGTGGAAGTGATGGAAGCCCACCTTCATGTGTGTGTGTGTGTTGATCATACCGACGCTGTGAGGACGTGTTCACACACTCACACTGCGAGGACTCGACTCGAGTGACAAAAACAAGTCACCAGAAGGTCAGCCGTTGACTTGGAGGACTTGGTTCAGGGCAGAGCGGGTCTGTGGGAGGGAGGAGGGTGTAAGTCACAGCGATGTCCTCTGAAGTGGAAACACATGTGAGCGTGTGCAGCTGGTAGTTAAATCCTGAGTTTACGAGGTCGGAGCCGCAGAGCAGAACAAATTCTCTGTGTCTCTGTCTTTATTTATTTCTACTTCTCTGAGGTTTGTCTGATATCCAACACATCTGTTTGTTTATGTGTGTGTCTGTGTGTGTATATAAGATGCAGTTTTATCATCCAGAAACCACTTACGGCTCCGGCTCTGCTCTGAGCTGCAGCAGGCCTCACAGTGGAAGCAGTAAAACGCTCCCAACACCAGCAAACAGCAGCCAGACAGCAGTAGATCCAACCAGGAGCTGGTGGAGACCAAAGACTGAGCAAAAAGACAGCAAGTAGTGGACTGATCCTCAGGTGGAAGCAGCTAGTCCTGCTAATAAGCGTTAGCATCGAGTGGTTGGTCGGATGTGATCACTGACGCTAGTTTGTTTTAAATACTTCCCACCACGTGAATGTACAAAATCCTCTCACCGAGCAAGATTTTCTTTTTTAAAGATATGTTTTGGCCTGAGGACAGAGAGAGAGACAGGAAAGTGGAGGGAGAAGAACTTGCAGCAAAGGGCCCTGAGCGGGACTCGAACCCACGACCGCTGCATCAGACCCAGTACGTGGGAGGCCAGCTCCACCGGCTGAGCCACCGAGCAAGACTGTTCAGTCAAGTCCTGCATCTCTGTCGTCAGTTTGTGTCTCTTTGTAGTCGTTCTGCATGTCTTTGTCTTGTTTTATTGTCTCTTTATCGTCACTTTGTGTCTCTTTGTCACTGTTTTCTGTCTTTCCAGTAGTTTTGTGTCTCTTTGTGGTAGTTTTGCGTGTCTTTGTGGTAGTTTTGTGTCTGTGCAGTAGTTTTGTGTATCCTTTTAGCCCCATTGTGCCTCATTGTGGGTGTTCCTTGTCTCTTTGTCACTGGGTTGACCCTCCAACAGGAGCCCCAACATCAACTTCACAGTTCAGAGTTCAGTGATCGACTCCTGCAGTAACTGATCTGTCCATGCAGGATCTCAATCGGTTGTCGTGACGACAGTACTGTCCAGCATCCTCTAGTACCTTTACCTCCCCCCCTCCTCCTCCTCCCCCACCCCGTGGAGGCGGAGCTCCTGGGACGGCCGGCAGGCGTGGTGCTGAGGTGGTTGCTATGGTTACCGCTGAGCCTCACTCTGACCTGATTGTTAAAAAAAAAAAGAAAAAAAACAATGAGGGAAACTTCAAAGAGGAGCTGCTCAGTTGCCTAGCAACAAGGCTCAGTATCTGGACTGCTCTCTCTGTCGGTCTCTCTCTCCATCCATCCCCTGTTTCATCCATCATCCATC